CCACGTCCCCGGCCTCGATCTCGGGTGCGCGAACTAAAAGGACCTCCACCAACTTGTTGTAAAGGAGTGGTGGAAGATCATTGAAGCGGAGTTTTTGAATGGCTTTCTCTTTGCAATTTTTTTGAATCTTCACTTTTATTTTTCTTTTTTTGTGATTTGAAATTGCAATTTCATGAGAGGAGAAAGTTTTCTTCGAAGGTGCGTAGTAGGCGACATCTTCATGAATACCAACTTTATGAACTGAGAACAGTTGTAGATCTCCCTTGATGCAATGTTCTTTTCCTTCTTTGTAGTACTTGATGCATTGGTGTAGGGATTATGGAACCATAGAGTGTCTGTGAATCCACGGTCGACCCAGTAGAGCATTAAAAGAGGTCTCAACATCGATGATATAAAATTTAGTGGTTGTTGCTAGTTCTCTTACCTTCATAAACAACGTAATAGATCCAAGGGCTCTCTCTCCCTTTTGGTTGAATCCTCTTAACATCATTTTATCGATGGTAAGCTCTTAAGCTTTGATGTCCAAATAGGCTAGTGTCAGAAGAGTCATCAAGTTTAAGGATGCTCCCGGATCTACTAAAACTCTGAAAAACACAAATCTGTCGATGTTAACATTGGTGTAAAACGGTTGGTTGTGGTTGGCGATACCAAGCAGCAAATCTTCATATTTGAAGGTTACCCCAAGCTGTTCTTTCAATGAACAAACTTTATCTGAGAATGTGCTGGCCAACTGATCTAGGCAAATCTCTGGGTCAAGCAAAGTTGTAATCAGAGACTCTCACTTCTCCTTTGATAGGATCAGAGCGTGTAGATGCTTAATCTGGTCGGCAACTGCCTAAAATGAGCTAGCACATTGTAGTCCACTTTTTATGAGCTCCAATTTTCTCTTGATTATGTGGTTCTTCCACTGGTGGAGGTGGAGGTGGAGGTAGCTCTTCTCAAGTATATATTTATTTTTCTTTATATGTTAGAGCTATTCTTGGGGGTATTACTCTCCCACTCCTTAAGTTCACTTCTATAATTTCTTCTTTTTGAGATATCATTGTTGAATCTTTTGGTGTTTCCTCTTTGCCGGAAAGATCTAGGTTGATGGCAAGCAGTGCATCTAATGCTCGAGAATTGGTTCCTCACTCCCGGTGCTATCGTAAGAGGTATTGTCAATTCTTCTTCAGTCTTGTTAGCGAGTTCATTGGACTCAAGTATGATTTGAGGATCATTTTAAGAATCAAGATCGAGGCTAGATTGGTCAAAACTAATTACTTTATCACCTGAAACAATTAAAACATAGCCAAAATCACAATCACTACATTCATAAGACCCCAGAGAGGCAAAAAGATAATCATACAAAGTCAGAGGTTTGAGGATTTTTTTCCCCGAATTTGATACAACAATTTCCCCGAATTTGATACAACCCTAAATTTGATACAACAAATCTTGTAGAGGCAGCCCCTATCTTACCCCCCGTACTATTGATCTTCACAGTGGTGTTCTTCTTTTTCTTTGTCTTTGATGATGATGACTCTTTAGCAAAATCTTCGTCTCGGGTTTGGCAGGCTAAAGACTCTGAACGGAGGCTTGCTTATATGAGTTTTGGATTTAATTCAATATTTTCTTGGATGATTTGCTCCAAACTTCATTCCATTCACCTTTTCCAGTATATGCGGAAGATTATTTTGATGAATCTCGTATTTGGTTTAGGAACCTCTTAAGCTCATCCCAAGTTGTACTCCATCCATCTTCTCTAATATATGGATCAATCAGAGAGATTGGTGCAGCCGAAATCATATTTATGGAACCTTTTTTAGGTTCTTTTAAATATTCTTTTGAGATTGTTATATTCCCTTCTTTAAGGTTATTCTTGAGCAAATCCTTAAGGATAAAACATTTTTCTATAGTGTGCCCAAGCAACCTGTGGTATGGGCAATAATTTGGTTGATCTTTCTTATCGACCTCTTCAGGTTTCTTTGGATCTAATAGTCTAAACTCAGGCTTCTTCATCAGACTTATGAACATTTTGGATACGACTTCATATTTGAAGGAATACACCATTTTCTATCCTTCTACCAGAGATATTCTTTTATTCCATGTTTGAGGTAATCCTTCTTGAGGCGGTCGCTGGTTGGACTGGCTACTCTGTTTCTGAGCATGCTGTGATGAAGATTCATGAGGATTTTCTGGATATATCTTCATTAGTTGCTTTCCTTTGTCGACAATCACTACTATTCCTGACTTCTTTTTAAATACTCTGGTTGCCTTAGATTTCTCGTGAGAATCCAGATGTTTGATTTTCTCTTGAAGACTGCTGGCTTTATTAAGTAGCTTCTCGAAGGATTTGATGGTGAGTCATTTGAGCATTAAAGCTACTGGCCCATGAATGCTTGTCGGCGTTATTTCGGGGATGGTTTTGTTGTGGGGTTGCCCATAAGAAGCTGTCGGTCACCGGAATCGAAATCCAGTCGCCCGCTTCGGAAGGACGTTGAAGTATGAGATCAAACTGACCCCATATTTTTCATAGTTTAAAATGAAAGAGCACTGTACCTCAAATCCTGTATCTATCCCGAAGGATAAACACAAGA